AACACATGTATATCTACCTGTAATACAGGTATGTATTATTACCTAAAACACATGTATATCTACCTGCAATACAGGTATGTCTTGTTACCTAAAACACATGAATATCTACCTGCAATACAGGTATGTCTTATTACCTAAAACACATGTTTATCTACCTGCAGTACAGGTATGTATTATTACTTAAAACACATGTATATCTACCTGCAGTACAGGTATGTATTATTACCTAAAACACATGTATATCTACCTGCAATACAGGTATGTCTTGTTAACTAAAACACATGTATATCTACCTGTAATACAGGTATGTATTATTACCTAAAACACATGTATATCTACCTGCAATACAGGTATGTCTTATTACCTAAAACACATGTATATCTACCTGCAATACAGGTATGTCTTATTACCTAAAACACATGTATATCTACCTGCAATACAGGTATGTCTTATTACCTAAAACACATGTATATCTACCTGCAATACAGGTATGTCTTGTTAACTAAAACACATGTATATCTACCTGTAATACAGGTATGTATTATTACCTAAAACACATGTATATCTACCTGCAATACAGGTATGTATTATTACCTTACACACATGTTATCCCTGCAATACAGGTATGTCTTGTTACCTAAAACACATGTATATCTACCTGCAATACAGGTATGTCTTGTTAACTAAAACACATGTATATCTACCTGTAATACAGGTATGTATTATTACCTAAAACACATGTATATCTACCTGCAATACAGGTATGTATGTATATCTACCTGCAATACAGGTATGTCTTATTACCTAAAACACATGTATATCTACCTGCAGTACAAGTATGTATTATTACCTAAAACACATGTATATCAACCTGCAATACAGGTATGTCTTGTTACCTAAAACACATGTATATCTACCTGCAGTACAGGTATGTAATATTACCTACCTAAAACATGTGTATATCTATCTGCAATGCAGGTATATCTTAATTACCTAAAACACATGTATATCTACCTGCAATACAGGTATGTATAATTACCTAAAACACTTGTATATCTAACTGCAGTACAGGTATGTCTTATTACCTAAAACACATGTATATCATGCAATACAGATGTGCTTCAGTTTATACCTTCTCTAGATGCACGATCTGCGTAGATTAAGGGGTAATTTAAAAGCAATTTAGAACGTGTTATCTGTTAATTTTATTGTTTATTTTTTTTTCTCAGCCTGTATTGATTTGTCAGAGAGCTAGAGTACTCATTCGACTGGCTGGAGGATCGCAGTAGTCAATGTTATGTTATGAACATATTCTCTAAAATGATGTAGATACTCCGGCCATATAATAAAATCACTGCCATCAGATTCATGCACCGTCCTGGGTAATTCAGGATCGATCGTCTAATCTAGGCTTTCACACCCCGGTGTATACACATGTCGACAGTATTTATTTCATTGTATGGGATGATAGGGCTTGAGCAGATACATGTTTTAACTCTCTATCGATAGAACAGTAATATCTTTAAGAAACCTTTGAAATGTAGATATACGGTGTACCGTAGCCACGCTGACATGCGCGGGGGTTAGAAAGGGACTCGTGCAGGGATCGAGGCACACATTAACCTGTTAAAATCTGTCGTTTTTTACGTCAGTATTTTCATGTGTAAACATTTCACACAACATTTATATGCGTCCCTGTTACAAGTTTGCCTTGCAAACACAAAACTAAGGCAATAGCCGATTGGAAATAAATCTGAATACTAGCTAAATAAGAGCGAAAACACACATTTTTCCATTTGTGTTTGCTTTTCTTTTTAACCAAAATATACTGTAAGAATTTTGCGAAGTTGGTATTCAATATTGGAATGTTATCAGAGTAAATACCCCTACATTATGCTACACTCTTTCAAGCGTTTCAACGACAGCGACGGAACCGTCTTTGCAGACGACAGAGGAATGGAAGAGGATAAAGATTTTGGTGCTAAATGGTCCGATAGATGTATTTAAGATGCTAATTGACGTAAATTCTGTTTAACGTTTACAAATGATGACATTGAAAGAAAAAAATAGGCTAAATCATGGACTTTTATATCTGCAGTCCGTGTTTAAACAGTTTGGTCAGAGCACCAGTCTCGCCTGTACGTGGTCGGAGTTCCCTATCACTGATCAGGTGGTCTTATTTATTTAACGGTTTAAAGTCGACTATTACGGTCTTTTCTCCTTTTTTCCACAAGTATGATGTTCCGTCAATAAGGTTATTTCTTAATATGAAAAATGAAATAGATTAAATGAAAATATAATTTGATATCGAGCAAACTTGGGATACAGTTGCGTGATAATATAAGGGAGGTAACTCTAACAGAAAATGACTTTTCTCACTCATGCATCTAGATTTGTTAGCTATTACAACATTAAACACTAATATGCTTCATTTCGAATAATTAAGTTGTATGATATATTTACCCAAACTATATTTAGTATACTATAATAAAAACACCAGGCATAAAATGTATTACTAAAAAAACTCTACCTGTGAAAAAAGTAAATATCGGGGCCAGGTGTTTGCTAAATTAAAAAAAAAAGATTCATTATACTATATCAGCTCACCCTTATCAGATAATTGGCTATTCAAAAGCCCTATGTTCATGGTCTTTTGTTGTCTGTCCGTCCATAACTAATGTTTTTAAGGCTTTTTCTTGAGAAGTACTGGATGGATCTTGTTCAAATTTCATTTGTAGGTTCCCCATAATCCCTAGTTGTGCCCATTTGATTTTGGGTCTGATAAGAAAAAATAAATGGCTGACAGGTGGTCATCTAGTATTTTGACTTTGAAAATTTGTTGTCGCTATTTCTTGAGAAATACTACATAGAACTTTCTCAACTTTCATGTGTAGGATCCTCTCGTTCCCTAGTTGTGTCCATTGGTAAGTCACGGTTGCTGATGAAACAGAAAGCACTTGTCCAGTAGAAAATTTTGTAAAACACTGGATAAGTGGCTGTGGAAAATTGATTGATAAATCAATGATTTGTGATATACCAGGTACGTCTATCTTCATGTGAAAATCAAATCAAGGGAAGCAACTCTTATAGAACATATATAGAAAAAAAACACAATGCATGAATAATTGTGTAACATTTATTATCAGCAAATAGGTTTTAGTGTGGCTAATTTAATGCAATTGTTCTGGTGAATCGAAAAAAATGACCTATTCTGAGGACTAGAACTTCTACAAACAGGCATGGCTTGCTCTGAGGACTAGATCTATTACAAGCACACAAGTCCTCGGAGAGTATGATCTTGTATCTGGTTGATAAATCTAGATATTGACCTCTGCAGCCAAAGGTAAAAATTGCTTGGTAGGCCATTGTGTTTTATCCATTGTCCTGTGCTGTCCGCTGTGCACCATGCATAAACTTTCCATTCAAATGATTCCTTCTCAATAGGCAAAAGGCTGAGGGTTTTTATATTTGGCCTGTAGCATGTTAGGATAAAGGGCTACTAAGTTTGTTAAAATGAATGACTTCAACCTACTTTAAAGGTCACATGAGTCAAATGTGTTGAAATCTTTAAACAACTTTTACAGTTACCAAAAGACTCAAGGTGTTGATATCGGGTCTTTTGTATACTGGACTGTAGGGTTACCAATTGTGTTCATGTTATTGACCTTGTCCCCTTTTAAAGGTCACAGGGGTCAAATATGTTACAGTCATTAAACAACTTTTTTTCAATAACCAAAAGGTCCTGGCTCTTTATCATAACTGGATGATGAACCACCAGATTTATTCAAATGATTGACTATGATCTACTTTCAAGGTCTCTGGGGTCAAATGAGTCGAAATCTTTATAATTTCTTCTTTAACAAGCAATAGGTCCAGGGTCATGGTATCTATGATGTAGCATGTATATGGAATTGGATTTCAAGTTTGCAGAAAATGTTTTTATGAACCTACAATGTCCTCTTTTTAAGCTTTAGAGTAGTTTGGCAATTCAGGCCTAGTTGGCCTCTTTTATATAGGTCTTTATACTCAGATGACTATTGAGGTCCATGGGCCTCTTGTTATGTAGACAATCTTCATATTAAAAAATCTTTGTATGTTCAAGGATGGTTACAGATATTGTATTTGCTATTTTCAGAAATTTTTGTGACCTAAATTTGAAAAAGCCAAATTCCACATGTGCGTTGTGGGAGACTATAATTGTCCAAATTATCTTGTTATGACTGCTGTACATATGAGTTGATCACAATGCCATTGGGGATAAATTCTGGAATGTACCAGAATGTACATATATAAATATAGTTGTGCCACCCAGTCTTACATTGTTTGTGTACCTTTCATTAGCTCACCATCTGATGATGGTGGGTTATTTAAAATGCCCTACATCTGTGATCTGTCGTCTATCTAACATCTGTCAATTGCCATTGAACAGCTCTTTCCATCACTATTTCTTGATCTTTCTCAAAATCATATGTAGGTTTTCCTTAGTCACTTGTTGTGCCCTTGTGTTTTTTTCTTTTGGGATTTATCTAAAAAAACAAAATGGCTGTTAACAGCTGGTGGCCATCTTGGATTGTGACAATGAAAGTTCAAAGAAAACAAAGTGGGTGATAAGTAGCCATCTTGGATTTTTGCTAAGGAAAGTTGTTTCTCTTTCTTGAGAATTACTGGATAAATCTTTCTCAAATTCCATAGTAGGTTTCCTTTTGGCTCCTAGTTTTGCCATTTTATTTTGGTACTGGTCAGAGAAACAACATGGCTGACAGTCATCTTGGATTTCCCAATAAAAAAATTATTATTACTATTTCTGAAAAGGATTATTCAGATTTCATATAAGAGCAAAAATAGAGGAAACGAGAACTGAAGGGAAACAGTGGTAAGCACCAATATACCTGTAGGGTCTTTCATTATTTTATGAGAGTGTAATTTTTTGTTACTTCAACATCTACAAATATATGGAACAAATCTTTTTTTTGTCTTTTCAGATTCCTCTGATCTTCACTATGGCAACACCCATTGGTCAATCTGCTTTCCGTCCTAAAGGTCAGAAAACATGTATTCAACATAAAGAGAAACAGCTTGATCTTTACTGTGAGAAATGTGATCAACTTATTTGCCTTACATGTTTACTATCAACTCACAAAGGTCATGATGTTTGTGAACTCAGTGCAATTACTCCTCAAAAGAAACAACATATTAAAAGTTTTATCGACAAAACAGAACAAAATGACCTGAAACAAGTCGGGGAATATATATCTTCTGTGGATACACTCCTTAAAGACAACACCAGCAATTTTGAGGAACTTTCACTCAAACTAAAATCTCAAACAGATAAAATAAAACAAGACCTTGATCTGCTTACAACACAGACACTCTCTGTTTATAAAAAGATGGAAGAGGGCAATGCCAGGCTGATTCTAAAATACAAAAAGGACCTGGAGACATACAACAAACAACTAAAACAACAACTACAGGAATGTAAGGTGACCCTCCAGCATGGCTCTCATCTGGAAATCTACGACACAGAGTATGAAATACATACCTCGTTACATCTCCCCGTGAAACCTGTCCTGGGTACGGCCAGCTTCACACCTACCACAAATACTCACCATCATCTACAACTGGCCTTAGGGACAGTTACCACCTCAGGACTGTCAGAGACCAAAGTGGTGAAGGAGTGGAAATCTCCATGTTACATTGGGTCTTTATGTCCCACTACTGATGGTCAGGTGTGGACCAGTGATTACAGTGGTACATTAACTCTCCTTAACAGGGAAGGTGAAGTAGTACAGAAGGTCAAACACACGACTGTCATCAAGGACATCAGTCTATCACCCACAACACACACACTGTGGGTCTGTGACGAGGAAAACAACATCATGGAGCTGGTATCAGGACAACTTACAAACAAATTCAGAACCAAGGAGTTCCCCCAGTGTATATGTGTTACAGCTAGTAACCATATCATTTTGGGGATGAAGAAACACATCTGTAAATTTACTACACAAGGTCAAATGGCTGTAGAGACTGGGAAACCGTTAGTGTATACACCAGTCAGGATGTCAGAGTGTCCAGTAACTCACAATGTCACAGTGATTGATATCAACAGTAAAACTGAAGGTGGTGATGGAAACCAATGTGTTGTTGTCATAGATACTGACTTCCAGGAAGTGTTTGTATATAGAGGTGACATCCCCAGTACATATAAACAAACACCACAAACAGGAGGTGTAACATTTTACCCCAGGGATGTGGTGTATGACAGTGTGGGGAACCTTATCATAGGGGACTATAACAACTATAGGGTCCTTCTCCTCAGTGGAGGTGGCGAGTTCCTCAGGATCATATACACAGACAGACGGGCGACATGGGCTGTAGGTATAGACAGGGAGGATGTTCTGTGGGTAGGGTTTAAGTATCTGGTATGGTATAATGTAAAACTACTACAGTACAGCAGTGTGTAACAGTACTACTACAGTACCGTGTGTAACAGTACTACTACAGTACAGCAGTGTGTAACAGTACTAGTAAGTACAGCAGTATGTTACAGTACTACTACAGTACAGCAGTGTGTAACATTACTACTACAGTACACAGCCTATTGCTACGGCCTTTCAGACAAAATTTACCGATCCTGGCCTTCTCATTGTCTGAAATATCGAAAAGAGTTAGAGCCCTCTAGCTGCAATTTTCTGCGTAAATAATGCCGCGATCTTTCAAATCGCTATTTTAAAAGCATCCAGAATTAGTTTAATTTTTTTAAATAACAATACGATTACTATATATTTCAAAAAAGAAGCACAGTGTGGTTGAACTATTGATAAATTTTGAACAATATATTTTACGGAATTCTCGACATGACGTAAGCGTACAGAACACTGTACGTGCGAGTTGATAAGAAGCTTGTCTGGGGCTTGGTTTGAATTATCAACTAACAGCACTTATAAACAAACAAAACTTACAAACAGAACATCAGTTTTGTTTTAATCCTTGTCGTTGTGGCAAGATCGTCTTAAAATATAACATAACTTTACCTCGGTAGACGTCACCGAATTGGACTGTTCGTCCCACGCGCACACCTGCCGATATGACACTTTTTCAGGTTTTTCACACCCACCGCCATGACACTTTTTCAAGTTTTTGAAGATAAAAAGTTTGCGCTTCGTAGGCAAGGTACATTTGGTGCTCATGATTTATGAATAATATTTTTAATACTGTACCGATCATGATGTTGACTCTGTCATAACTTATATTTTTTGTCTTTTAGTTTTATTTGATGAAGGTTGATTGTGCTGATTTCTCAAGGTTTGTTAATGTGTATCAAAGTTCCTTGAATTGAAAATATTTCTTTAAACAAAGCGCGTATGAAAAAAAAACCAAAATATTAATGTTTATAATTATCAATTAACTAGAACGAAATATTTCCATATCATATTTATTCATTTAGCGTGTCGTGGTGACATTATCTAATGCATTGGAGATCAGAAATAGTAGTAGCTGTAGTGAAAATATTGTAAATTTTGTATATATATGGAAGTCTGGTTTAATCTCAAAGAACTATGTCTTTATAGACATAATTACTGCAAGAAAAGTCTAACCATGATACTTCTAGGAAGATAGGCATGTAAATACATTTAATGTAATTACTTACACTTTAATCTATCTGAAATGATGTGTACACCTTATCTACTTTCCTCAACTACAAATATAATTACAATAAGTAAGGACTATTACTTTGCAATATATTTAAAATAAAGAAGTAGGTATAAAGTCCTTTCGATTTGTCTAAATTCTCATATTGATAGGATAGGAATTGCAACATCTTGGGTATTTCAAAGGTTTTATTTAGTCAACTTCATCATAGAGCTATTAATCATTTGGCTCGTTGGCGATAAGTATATGGCTGTGTGTATTTTGTTATTTTTTGTACCTATTTTGATTTTACTTTCAGTACTTTGATTAAGACTGAATCTGTTAACAGGGTATAAAGGTAGATAACCCATGCTGACAAACTGATGTAAGATGAGGGATAAGGCGGTGTTGTAGTCGATTACTGTAGTGTAATTTTGCTAGGCAACCACCTTGTAGCCATCTATGATGGTAAAGTAGTAAAGATCAGTGACAATGGATTGAAATTAACATTGACAGACTGAGATTTGTTGCGAAAAATTGAGACAAACATCGACATAGTACGTTCGTGGCCAAAATTTGATAATGGACACCAATATAGTTAGGTTCAAGGAGAAAATTTACATTGACATTGTAAGTTTAATAGTGAAAGATTGATATCAACATCTTCACAGTGAGGTTAATAGATAAATATTATTATCAACATCGACACAGTGAGGTTAATAGATAAATATTATTATCAACATCGACACAGTGAGGGTAATAGATAAATATTATTATCAACATCTTCACAGTGAAGTTAGCGGCTAAAGATTTAATCAACATCGAAATAATGAGGTTAGTGACTATAGACTGAGGTCAACATCGACATAGTGAGGTTAGTGGATTTAGACATCGGGATGAATTATAGTTCATGTACTATCATTTCATATACAATATTTAAAAAAAACGATAGTGAGTAGCATTGAAACCCAAACTTAAGTTTATTTCTTTGTTTCTTCTTCTGTTCTCTTGACTACAATAGACGTAACTTACAGATACAAAACCAATTTATTAAAAAATAATGACGATAATAATTGTTCAATGGCAGTGAGATGTGGCACAAGTTCTGGACTGCAAATTTATGAAGACTTTTTGTTACTATATATACAATGTAGTAGCACTTTTTTATATGGTCTATGAATTATCCTGAAGTCCATATAGTTCCTTTAAGTTGGGTGTGTTTTTTATTGTTCACATTTGTAAGTAAATAACATTATCAAAACTACTTTAAAGATATGGAATAGGAGATTTCTGGGCAAGTGCCTTTTGTTGAGTGTTATTCTAGCCATTTGACACAGATTTCTGAACAGAAAAAGTTCCATTTACAAAGGCTGAGAAACCATGAAGAGCCCGAACCCTACTCGGTATCTGCTTGAAGGGTTTGGTAATTATGGTCAGCGCTTGATTACAGTTACGTTGAGACTTATGCGGCCAGGGCAGTGTCGAACGCGTACTGTTTCGTACCCTCCTTCAGACAGGTGATAGGGATGAAAGGATGGCAACTCTTCATCAGGTAGTTCTGTATCAAAAATTATATATATTCTTCTTAAAATAACATTAACACCTTGATATATATTTTCATGGGATAGTTTACTTTCACTTATATAAATAATTTTTATGTTAATTAACGATTTTATCAATTAATTCTGTTGAATTTCTTATATAGTATATGTATAGTGTCAGAAAAAAACTACACTTCATCAGTTAATTCTGCATTTGAAATAATCATCCATATATCAACATTTACGTACAGTAAGTGTCGGCAATTAGAGGTTTATATATTTAGCATTACAACTGACATTAGAATCGACCTCAAGACACACAGGGGATATTTTCTTGTGAACGTATTAATGATACGATAGATAGTGAATTAGATTGCATAATGCAGTTCCTTTTTACTTCTGTGACTTGTCAGTGTTGCGATAGTCAAAAGTGTGGAAATCCAAAAGAGAAACTTGAACATATGAAAATGGACTTCAAGGAAAAACCATAGAAGGGGATGTGTATTAATCCTGTAAACCATATGTGTATATTCTTGGTGCGAGGAAGTAACACATATATAGACTACAAGCGAACCCCAGACTACAGGCAAATCTCAGGCAACCCTCAGACAACAGACAAGCCTCAGACTACAGACAAACCTCAGACTACAGGCAAATCTCAGGCAACCCTAAGACAACAGACAAACCTCAGACTACAGGCAAATCTCAGGCAACCCTCAGACAACAGACAAACCTCAGACTACAGACAACATCAGACTACAAGCTAACCCCAGACTACAGAAAAACCTCAGACTAGAGACAAACGTCAGCCTACAGGCAAATCTCAGGCATCTCTCAGACTACAGGCAAATCTCAGACCAACCTCAGACAACAGACAAACCTCAGACTACAGACAACCTCAGACTATAAGCGAACCCCAGACTACAGGCAAATCCCAGGCAAACCTCAGATAACAGACAAAACTCAGACAACAGACAACCTCAGACTACAGACAAACCTCAGACTACAGACAAACCTCAGACAAACCTCAGACTACAGACAAACCTCAGACTACAGACAAACCTCAGACAAACCACAGACTACAGACAAACCTCAGACTACAGACAACCTCAGCCAAACCTCTGACAACAGGCAAACCTCAGCCAAACCTCATACTACAGGCAAATCTCAGGCAAACCTCAGACAACAGGCAAACCTCAGGCAAACCTCAGACAACAGGCAAACTTCAGGCAAACCTCAGACTACAGGCAAACCTCAGGCAAACCTCAGACTACATGCAAACCTCAGGCAAACTTCAGGCTACAGACTACCTCAGACTACAGCAAACCTCAGACTACAGCAAACCTCAGACTACAGGCAAACCTCAGGCTACAGACTACCTAAGACTACAGCAAACCTCAGACTACAGACAACCTCAGACTAAACACAACCTCAGACAAACCTCAGACTACAGACAACCTCAGCCAATCCTCAGACTACAAACAAACCTTATACTACAGGAAAACCTCAGACTACAGACAACCTCAGACTAACCTAAGACTACAGACAACCTCAGACTATAGACAAACCTAAGACTACAGACAACCTCAGACAAACCTAAGACTACAGACAAACCTCAGACTACAGGCAAACCTCAGACTACATGCAAACCTCAGACTACAGACAAACCTCAGACTACAGACAAACCTAAGACTACAGACAACCTCAGACTACAGACAAACCTAAGACTACAGACAACCTCAGACAAACCTAAGACTACAGACAAACCTCAGACTACAGGCAAACCTCAGACTACATGCAAACCTCAGACTACAGACAACCTCAGACTACAGGCAAACCTCATACTACAGACAAACCTAAGACTACAGACAAACCTCAGACTACAGGTAACCTCAGACTACATGCAAACCACAGACTACAGGCAAACCTCAGACTACAGGCAAATCTCAGACAAACCTAAGACTACAGACAACCTCAGACTACAGACAAACCTAAGACTACAGACAACCTCAGACAAACCTAAGACTACAGACAAACCTCAGACTACAGGCAAACCTCAGACTACAGACAAACCTCAGACTACAGGCAAATCTCAGACTACAGACACACCTCAGACTACAGACAAAGCTCAGACTACAGACAAACCTCAGACTACAGGCAACCTCAGACTACAGACAACTTCAGACTACAGACAAACCTCAGACTACAGGCAACCTCAGTCTACAGGCAGACTACAGACAACCTCAGACTACAGACAAACCTCAGACTACAGGCAACCTCAGACTACAGACAAACCTCAGACTACAGACAAACCTCAGACTACAGGCACACCTTAGACTACAGGCACACCTCAGACTAAAGACAAGCTCAGACTACAGACAACCTCAGACTACAGGCAAACCTCGGGCAAACCTCAGACTACAGACAACCTCAGACTACAGGCAAACCTCAGACTACAGACAACCATAGACTAAACACAACCTCAGACTACAGACAACCTCAGGCAAACCTCAGACTACAAACAAACCTCATACTACAGGCAAACCTCAGAGTACAGACAAACCTAAGACTACAGACAACCTCAGACTACAGGTAACCTCAGACTACAGGTAACCTCAGACTACATGCAAACCACAGACTACAGGCAAACCTCAGACTACAGGCAAACCTCAGACTACATGCAAACCACAGACTACAGGCAAACCTCAGACTACAGGCAAATCTCAGACTACAGGCAAACTTCATACTACAGACAAACCTAAGACTACAGACAACCTCAGACAAACCTAAGACTACAGACAAACCTCAGACTACAGGCAAACCTCAAACTACATGCAAACCACAGACTACAGGCAAACCTCAGACTACAGACAAAGCTCAGACTACAGACAAACCTTAGACTATAGACAAAGCTCAGACTACAGACAAACCAAAGACTACAGACAACCTCAGACTAACCTAAGACTACAGACAAACCTCAGACTACAGGCAAACCTCAGACTACAGACAAACCTCAGACTACAGGCAAACCTCAGACTAAACCTCAGACTACAGGTAACCTCAGACTACAGACAAAGCTCAGACTACATGCAAACCTCAGACTACATGCAAACCTCAGACTACAGACAAAGCTCAGACTACAGACAAACCTCAGACTACAGACAAAGCTCAGACTACAGACAAACCTCAGACTACAGGCAAATCTCAGACTACAGACACACCTCAGACTACAGACAAACCTCAGACTAAACCTCAGACTACAGGCAAACCTCAGACTACAGACAAAGCTCAGACTACAGACAAACCTCAGACTACAGACAAAGCTCAGACTACAGACAAACCTCAGACTACAGACAAAGCTCAGACTACAGGCAAACCTCAGACTACAGACAAAGCTCAGACTACAGACAAACCTCAGACTACAGGCAAATCTCAGACTACAGACAAACCTCAGACTACAGACAAACCTCAGACTACAGGCAAATCTCAGACTACAGACAAACCTCAGACTACAGGCAAATCTCAGACTACAGAACTACAGACAAAGCTCAGACTACAGGCAAACCTCAGACTACAGACAACCTCAGACTACAGGCAAACCTCAGGCAAACCTCAGACTACAGACAACCTCAGACTACAGACAAACCTCAGACTACAGGCAACCTCAGACTACAGACAAACCTCAGACTACAGACAAACCTCAGACTACAGGCACACCTCAGACTACAGGCACACCTCAGACTACAGAGACAAACCTCAGACTACAGGCACACCTCAGACTACAGACAAACCTCAGACTACAGACACACCTCAGACTACAGGCACACCTCAGACTACAGGCACACCTCAGACTACAGACAAACCTCAGACTACAGGCACACCTCAGACTACAGACAACCTCAGACTAAAGACAAGCTCAGACTACAGACAAACCTCAGACTACAGGCAAACCTCAGACTACAGACAAACCTCAGACTAAAGACAAACCTCATACTACAGGCAAACCTCAACAACTAAGTTCACTAGCACCTTTTATCTCAAAGTAGTTTATGAATAACACACACGTGAATTACACTTAATAAAAGGTTCGTGAGATACGCTGAAAATAGCACCAAACAGCCGTTTCGTCCTTTGTTCAAATTTAGTATAAGCTAGTAATTTAGTTTGACTTAAACACACACGACTTACAAGCATCAAGTATTTCAACTAGTTTTGACAAAGTTTTCTATACTCTATAATCATCTTTCATATGTTTGAAATTCCACAAAAATGCTCCACGAAACAAACATCTATACATATACTTACGTGTGCGTATGTCATGGCATTCTTCTTTTCGGAGGAAGTACTTTGCTTGCCGATCCACACAAAAAGGCTCTCTGAGGTATCGTATATAAATACATCCTGTAATGATGGTTTATAGAAGTTTACCGACCGACTTTTACAGCAATACTATAATGTGACACTATAGAGATGTGATATAGTAAACGTCCATTAATACCAAATCGATCTACATCATTGTTGTTATCACTAGAAAGGATTACAAACCTAGCTATTGGTGAGGTCATTATCTTCTTTTTAATATTCTTTGATAATATTGCTAACACATGGAACTTCTGGAAACAAAACTTACATTGGTATCAAAATCGCCTCTGCTGATACTGCCAGATTTTTCCAGCTTCATGGACATTCTCCCGGAAGCGTCCGACACTCTGGAATAGGATAATATCACAACATGATGAACCTAATTCTGAGTTTGTTGATCAGATATATAAGGCACCAAAACTAAATCAGAGATAAACACTCGGGTAAAGTTGTTAAAATATATGAAAAAAATACGGAAATAGAAAAGGATGTACATGTTTATTTAATTCCAATTACTACCTGAATAATTTTGTTTCTTCCTTCATGGCTTCTTCAATGGATGATTGAGAAAAGTCATCTTCTTCGCCGCCATCTAAGCTGCGTAAAAACTCATGCTGAAAAGATACATAGCCATCCAATAACACGGACAACACAGTGACTAACAGTCAGACTTTTGGTCTGTGTACAAGTCCGAGATCTCTCTCAACATCACCCTCAATCTATTCCTGTCAGACTATCGACTGTTGGTCTGTGTACACGTCTGAGATCTCTCTCAACATCACCCTCAATCTATTCCTGTCAGGCTATCGACTGTTGGTCTGTGTACACGTCTGAGATCTCTCTCAACATCACCCTCAATCTATTCCTGTCAGACTATCGACTGTTGGTCTGTGTACACGTCTGAGATCTCTCTCAACATCACCCTCAATCTATTCCTGTCAGACTATCGACTGTTGGTCTGTGTACACGTCTGAGATCTCTCTCAACATCACCGTCAATCTATTCCTGTCAGACTATCGACTGTTGGTCTGTGTACACGTCTGAGATCTCTCTCAACATCATCCTCAATCTATTCCTGTCAGACTATCGACTGTTGGTCTGTGTACACGTCTGAGATCTCTCTCAACATCACCCTCAATCTATTCCTGTCAGACTATCGACTGTTGGTCTGTGTACACGTCTGAGATCTCTCTCAACATCACCGTCAATCTATTCCTGTCAGACTATCGACTGTTGGTCTGTGTACACGTCCGAGATCTCTCTCAACATCACCGTCAATCTATTCCTGTCAGACTATCGACTGTTGGTCTGTGTACACGTCTGAGATCTCTCTCAACATCACCCTCAATCTATTCCTGTCAGACTATCGACTGTTGGTCTGTGTACACGTCTGAGATCTCTCTCAACATCACCCTCAATCTATTCCTGTCAGACTATCGACTGTTGGTCTGTGTACACGTCTGAGATCTCTCTCAACATCACCCTCAATCTATTCCTGTCAGACTATCGACTGTTGGTCTGTGTACACGTCTGAGATCTCTCTCAACATCACCCTCAATCTATTCCTGTCAGACTATCGACTGTTGGTCTGTGTACACGTCTGAGATCTCTCTCAACATCACCCTCAATCTATTCCTGTCAGTCCATCGATTAAAATGATACGTATGATGTTTTAAAACTATTTGCATTTGATCAGAGTTTCTGGGTCCCGATCTATCTATAGAGTCACGCTACTATACTGAACACTTACATCCTCCTCTAAATCCCTCTCCTCTAGAACTTCCGACTTAGCCTTTCCTGAACGTTCTGATTTCAGTTCTGCCAGGTATTGGAGAGCCTAAACACAAACAAACAAACAGATAAACAACTAAAACACATTAATTTCAAGTAAACTCAACCTCTTCAAAGGAATCAGTATTAAGTGTCTTGTTGGGTTATAAAAATCCTGGTTTGAAGTGACATTGAAACCTAAAGTGATCGTGATCCTCCGATAACAATAGATCAATGACGTCATTTCTCCTGAGTATTTCAGTCACGACTTTGATAGAGACATTACTTCAGACGATTTTTACCAAAATCAAGATAATATCATATACAATAAAAATGGATTTCCATTTATCATCCATTAAAAATTGGTTTCGTTGCTGGAAGAGAACTCTCACGACTGCCTCTAACATTTTCTATGTCTTATTGGAGGAGATACTCTAAAGATGACATCGTTAAATACATTGATCAGTTACAGAGTTCAATATTTTTAATCAGTGAATGAACCTTCATTTTCTCGTCTTTGTTGCTCCCACTGCCGTTCCACTGGTAAATAGTCAAACCAAGGTCAAGGATGAAGACATCACCGGAATCTAGACGGCACTTCTGTCGGGGGATCTGTGGAGGGTATACATACAGATTAAATAGGACATTATAGATCTGTCAGGGATCTGTGGAGGGTATACATACAGATTAAATAGGACATTTTAGATCTGTCGGACATTTGCGTAGGGTATAGTTCCGTTGGGAATATAAAAAGCAATTTGAAATGGGGAAGAAAATCCAATGAATGATCAATTTTCAAGTGTTTTTACAGGGAGTCAACCAAATATTGCTTCTTACGACCAAGAAAATAACTGCAATATAAGATTAAACCATATACAATAACAAAAATTGTTAAACTGATTTAATTTTAGGTGCTTAAGACATTGGAATATTGTCAAACAAAAATCCAATACCGGTGTATGTATCAATACTCAATTATTAATCTTATACATCAGTATCCTGTTCAGTGTGTGAATTGTTTTGAAATATAGTATAAGCACCAAGTATTCTGACCACTGTTATCAACACACAACAACACCATATTGATAGTTCACTGACCTCCTTGACAACGACTTTATGTCTGTCCCCACAGAGGTGGAACAGTTTTGGTGTGTACGCTGTCGGTTTAACATGACGGAATCCGGTGTCTGCTCCCCCGTGAATATATCTAAATACAATACACATCTCATAAATATTACAGTTGGTAAATAAAACAATATTGTTTAAAGAGATGTGCCAAGCTTGGTTGATAATAAATTGGTATAGAGTTAGTTTTATAGTTGTACAGTGAGTGTAGTTCAGAAATGTGAAAATGTCAGACGTTGTTGTACTAACTTGCCAATCTTGTATGAGAGAGATATGTGGTTGGTAGAATGAATTGTAACACCAGGGTACATAGACTTGACTGTCAGAATGGATGGCATTATATTAAAGACGGTCCACAATAGTGAACAGATTTATATGAGAACTAGAAATTGTTGCTAACAATTTTGCGGCTTTTCACTTCTTTGGAGACAATCTTGGATATCGGACAGACTCCCCGAAAAACAGCACTAGTTTAAGTTAATCTCAGCTTCATTTACGGCAAACCTAAACAGAATTCCACAAGCTGACCTGCGCATTTCAAAAACATCCATTTTCAAAATGGCGGTCATGGCAGCCATCTTGGATTTCGTACCAACTTAGAAAATAACAAATCTTAGTCAGGACAAAAATGGTAGTCCTTCATCCCAGCATGCTGCAAGCCTAATATCAGTTCCCCCTTGCTTTTTGTTTGATCAAAGATGTTTGAAGATTTCATATACATTTGACACCTGTGACCTTGAATGTTAGTCAAGGTTATTCATAATTGCAAGCCTTATAAAACAACACCTGTAGATCAGTATATACTAAATACTAGTGCTCTACACCTTGTGGAAACTGAGAAGATTGTTTAACACTGGTACCCTATATTGTACATTTCAACAATGATTTCAAATTTGACCCCTTTCAGATATTGGAAGTTGACATTTTTCCTGATAACAATATATCAGAAAGTTTCATTGTTTGTTAATCTCTACAACATATCCAAACATGAAGTTTGTATCTTGAAACGTTAAGGAGATATAACTACATAATAACGAAGAAATACACTTTTTAATGGTTCAAACATATTTGACCCCTGTGACCTTGAATGTCGATCAAGGTCATTTATATTATCAAACTTTGTTGCCAGTTACATATGCTTCTTATCTGTGAAATATAGAACCTTTCAGAACTTGAGAAGAAGTTTGTCAAAATTTGGTGCTCTAAATAGCACTTTTCAACTTTGTTACCTACCGAAAACCGGAAGTTGAATTTTGATGGAAATTTTTCTTGTATCAATCGATAGAGAATATCCACAGAATATTTATGTCCAAAATTGAAGACTTTGCGCAGCTTAACAATTGAGATATTACCATTTAACGATATTTACATAATTGACCCCTGTGACCTTGAAAGTATATCAAGGTCATTTATATTATCAAACTTTGTTACCAGTTACATATCCTTCTTGTATATGAAATATCTAGTCTCTACGCCTTCCAGAACTTGAGACGAAGTTTTTCAAAGATTGGTACCCTAAATAGCTCTTTCCAAATTTGTGCCCTACCGAAAACCGGAAGTTGAACTTTTAGGAATGTTTTTCTTATGACAATCAATAGGAAGTGTCCACAGAAGGTTTATAATCAATTTTCATCATTGTGTGCCTTCTAGAAAGTGAGAAACTGTCATTTAACGATTCTTAGTTAATAGACCTATGTGACCTTGAAAGTGGGTCAAGATCATTTATATTACTAAACATTGTTGCCAGTTACATATGCTTCATATCTGTGAAATATAGAGCATCTAGGCCTTTCAGAACTTGAGAAGAAGTTTTTCAAAAATTGGTACCCTAAATAGCACTTTTCAACTTTGACCCCCAACCTCAAACCGGAAGTTGAATTTTGATGGAAGTTTCTCTTATATCAATCGACAGGAAATGTCCACAGAATATTGATGTCCAAACTTGAAGACTTTGGGCAGCTTAACAATGGAGAAATTACCATTTAACGATATTTACACAATTGACCCCTGTGACCTTGAAAGTAGGTCAAGGTCATTTATATTAACAAACTTGATAGATAATTAAACAGACATATTACACATGAAATATCATAATATGATTAAAACTGAGGTCAAGGCTTTGCATTTTAGAACTTGGCGGCCATTTTGTAATTCCGAAGTTAAACGTTTCAGAAGATAAAAAATATCTGAAAACACTAAATTTATCGGAAGGGTAAACGTTTCATAAGAACTGAAAACACTAAATTCATCGAAAGGACGTTCTGCATCGATCTGAAGGAGAAAATTTCAGGAAAATTCAAATTGAAAAAAAAAAAAAGAAATTTTTTTTTTAATTTTGAAAACTTTACCCCACAGCGAGCTTTTTTATTCGACATATTTTCTGATAACATGTCATGACAAAAATTTAGATAAGGAAATTCTCTACAAATAATATAATTGCACAAACTCTCCACAATGAATGGTTTTTAAGTTACAGCAGTTTTAATGTTTTTAGTTTATGACGTCATGGCGGCCATATTGGATATTTGACCTATTTGAAAATGTTCCTGTAACACCTTCAGACCTTATTTATAAACATACTAACAAAACCATCAACCTTTCTTTCACTCATCTAAAGACAGAGACTCCACAAAATACGGAAGAATAAAAGAAGAATAAGAAACATAACAAAACCAATAGGTCTTTTCACCTTTGGGTGAAAAACCTTTATTAGCTGGTTTGTAAAACTGAGGATCTATAATAGTGAACGGATTTGTCAGAGATTTAACTAGTTGGTAAAATTGAGGGTTGACAATAGTGAACAGATTTGTCAGAGATTTAGCTGGTTGGTAGAATAGAGGGTTGACAACAGTGAACAGATTTGTCAGAGATTTAGCTGGTTGGTAGAATAGAGGGTTGACAACAGTGAACAGATTTGTCAGAGATTTAGCTGGTTGGTAAAATTGAGGGTCGACAAATTAATCAATTACTAAAGATGAGAATGTCTGCAACGGTACTAAAAAAGGAACATATCTGCTAGAATTTCATAAAAAAATATGCAGTCTTGTTCTAAAATTTCTTATCCTAATTATAGGGTCGAGAGGTAGAAATTTTTAAAAATGCGACTTCAAGCAAACAATAACCACACAAGAAATGGCACAAAAAGTACTAATGTCTTATGCTTAATAGAACTACCTGACATGTTTAAGGACCTGGAATACGATTTATACATTCTAGATTATGCCTTTTAACCACTGATCTGCACTTATTATTAGATACGTACGTTAAGGTTTTGAAATAGGATTTGAACATGTCCGACTCGTGTTCCTGAACTTCTCTGTGCTGGATAGGTTTGTCGTCCAGAAATGTGTCCAGTTCTACAGTCTTGTAAGCCGCCGTCCCGTACTCGTCCTGTAATACAAATTCAATAATACATAAAGTATAATAACAAAACTTAAAGAACAAAACTATGCCTTATCAGGAGAGAAAAGAGTCTTCAACAAGGGTATATTACGATAGAAAAATCAAAATCATTTAATTAAATGTTTATGTATGTAAATTGTAAAAGTAGCAATTCATCTCGGGTGGCGCCTGGCCTCCTAAGCCAGTATGGCGTAGTTTCGCTCACCTTTGCTCCAAATATGTTATTATGAATTTTTTTTATATTTACATGTTAATTAAACCAGGTAAAAAATAAACGGCTTCCCCATTCTGAAAAAGGTATGCCAAGATTTTACAGCCAATTTGATTGTTCGGTATTCTTTCCTTGACATTTAGAGCAAACAGGGCTCGAGTTATGGATCATTTCTTTTATACTTTAGCAGTACAAAAAATACATTTTTGACTGCTTGTAGATAATTTTTTGTAAAAATTCAGCAGCTTTACAGTGTTCTCGGTAATTCGGCTGTAATGAAAAACAGTATATTCTAGGCAACTAGACACACACTTGAAAGAATCTTTGTAAATGACTTGGTCGAGAAACTTGCAGAAAAAGTGATAAACACTCTTAAATTGAACGTAGAGCAGAGCATGACTAGTGCAAGTAAAGGGGAGTTAGGGCAAAAACCAATGATAAGTAAACGGACAATAAAGCAAGGAATCCTGGGTAAGTACACAGCCGAAAAAGCAAGGAATCCTGGGTAAGTAAACGGACAATAAAGCAAGGAATCCTGGGTAAGTAAACGTACAATATAGCAAGGAATCCTGGGTTAATAAACGGACAATAAAGTTAGGAATCCTGGGTAAATAAATGGACAATAAAGCAAGGAATCCTGGGTAAGTAAACGGACAATAAAGTTAGGAATCCTGGGTAAATAAACGGACAATAAAGTTAGGAATCCCGGGTAAATAAACGGACAATAAAGCAAAAAATCCTGGGTAAGTAAACGGACAATAAAGCAAAGAATCCTGGGTAAGTAAACGGACAATAAAGCAAGGATCCTGGGTAAGTAAACGGACAATAAAGCAAAGAATCCTGGGTAAATAAACGGACAATATAGCAAGGAATTCTGGGTAAGTAAACGGACAATAAAGTTAGGAATCCTGGGTAAATAAACGTACAATAAAGCAAAGAATCCTGGGTAAGTAAACGGACAATGTCGCGAGGTACCTTGTGAAAGTAAACAGACAATGTCGCGAGGTACCTTGTGAAAGTAAACAGACAATGTTACGAGGTACCATGGGTAAGTAAACAGAGAATGTTACGAGGTACCATGGGTAAGTAAACAGAGAATGTTACGAGGTACCATGGGTCAGTAAACAGACAATATTGCGAGGTACCTTGGGTTAGTAAACAGACAATATCGCGAGGAACCCTGGGTAAGTAAACAAACAATGTCGCGAGATACCCTGGGTAAGTAAACAGAGAATGTTACGAGGTACCATGGGTAAATAAACAGAGAATGTTACGAGGTACCATGGGTAAGTAAACAGAGAATGTTACGAGGTACCATGGGTAAGTAAACAGACAATATTGCGAGGTACCCTGGGTAAGTGAATTGACATGTCGCGAGGTACCCTGGGTAAGTGAATTGACATGTCGCGAGGTACCCTGGGTAAGTAAACAGACAATGTCGCGAGGTACCCTGGGTAAGTAAACAGACAATGTTTTGAGGTACCCTGGGTAAGTAAACAGACAATGTCGCGAGGTACCCTGGGTAAGTAAACAGACAATGTTACGAGGTACCCTGGGTAAGTAAACAGACAATGTTTTGAGGTACCCTGGGTAAGTGAATTGACATGTCGCGAGGTACCCTGGGTAAGTAAACAGACAATGTTTTGAGGTACCCTGGGTAAGTGAATTGACAAGTCGCGAGGTACCCTGGGTAAGTAAACAGACATGTTGCGAGGTGCCCGGGGTAAGTAAACAGACATATTGCCGAAATTGACATGTGTTATCTGTGTGTTGTACTTGCCTATGTTAACATGTGTTACCTGTGTGATGTACTTGCCTATATTGACATGTGTTACCTGTGTGTTGTACTTGCCTATATTGACATGTGTTACCTGTGTATTTTACTTGCGTATATTGACATGTGTTACCTGTGTAATGTTCTTGCCTATATTGACATGTGTTACCTGTGTGTTGTACTTGCCTATATTGACATGTGTTACCTGTGTGTTGTACTTGCCTATATTGACATGTGTTACCTGTGTGTTGTACTTGCCTATATTGACATGTGTTGCCTGTGTATTTTACTTGCGTATATTGACATGTGTTACCTGTGTAATGTTCTTGCCTATATTGACATGTGTTATCTGTGTGATGTACTTGTCTATATTGACATGTGTTACCTGTGTAATGTTCTTGCCTATATTGACATGTGTTATCTGTGTGATGTACTTGTCTATATTGACATGTGTTACCTGTGTATTTTACTTGCCTATATTGACATGTGTTACCTGTGTGATGTACTTGCTTATATTGACATGTTACCTGTGTATTTTACTTGCCTATATTGACATGTGTTACCTGTATGTTGTACTTGTCTATATTGACATGTTACCTGTGTGTTTTACTTGTCTATATTGACATGTGTTATCTGTGTTTTTTACTTGCCTATTTTTACATTACTTACCTGTGTGCTGTATTTGCCAATCCAGAAATGAACATCATAGAGAAGTTCTTCTCCGAATTCGTTTTTATAAGTCTGAAAAATATTAAAGGAAAATTGATATCCTGTGCTCTGATCACATATACCATCTCCCACACTGTTGCTGTGACTGTACACCCCTGTGTGACAATTCCGACTAATAGTCCCTGTCTCTCACATATACCATCTCCCACACTGTTGCTGTGACTGTACACCCCTGTGTGACAATTCCGACTAATATTCCCTGTCTCTCACATATACCATCTCCCACACTGTTGCTGTGACTGTACACCCCAGTGTGACAATTCCGACTAATATTCCCTCACATATACCATCTTCCACACTGTTGCTGTGACTGTACACACCAGTGTGATAATACCGACTAATATTCCCTGTCTCTCACATATACCATCTCCCACACTGTTGCTGTGACTGTACACACCGTGTACCATTGACACATGTGTTACACTGTGTGTGACTGTACACACCAGTGTATATTACCATCTCCCACACTGACTGTACACACCAGTGTCTATCACATATACCATCTGTGTGCTGTGACTGTACACACCAGTGTGACAATTCCGACTAATATTCCCTGTCTATACCATCTACTCCTGTGTACATATACCATCTCCCACACTGTTGCTGTGACTGTACACACCAGTGTGACAATTCCTGTGTAATGTTCTTAACTGTGTATTCCCTGTCTGTTGCTACTCACACCAGTGTGATACCACATCTCTCCACACTGTTGCTGTGACTGTACACACCAGTGTGACAATTCCGTTATTCCCTCACATATACCATCTCCCACACTGGTGACTGTACACACCAGTGTGACAATTCCGACTTATATTCACTCACATATACCATCTCCCACACTGTTGCTGTGACTGTACACACCAGTGTGACAATTCCGACTTATATTCCCTCACATATACCATCTCCCACACTGTTACTGTGACTGTACACACCAGTGTGACAATTCCGACTACTAATATTCCCTCACATATACCATATACCATCTCCCACACTGTTGCTGTGACTGTACACACCAGTGTGACAATTCCGACTTATATTCCCTCACATATACCATCTCCCACACTGTTGCTGTGACTGTACACACCAGTGTGAAATTCCCTGTCTCTCACATATACCATCTCCCACACTGTTGCTGTGACTGTACACACCAGTGTACACCACCAGTGTGACAATTCCGACTAATATTCCCTGTCTCTCACATATACCATCTCCCACACTGTTGCTGTGACTGTACACACCAGTGTGACAATTCCGACTAATATTCCCTGTCTCTCACATATACCATCTCCCACACTGTTGCTGTGACTGTACACACCAGTGTGACAATTCCGACTAATATTCCCTGTCTCTCACATATACCATCTCCCACACTGTTGCTGTGACTGTACACACCAGTGTGACAATTCCGACTAATATTCCTCTGTCTGTGACTGTACACACCAGTATACCATCTCCCACCACTGTTGCTGTGACTGTACACACCAGTGTGACAATTCCGACTAATATTCCCTGTCTCTCACATATACCATCTCCCACACTGTTGCTGTGACTGTACACACCAGTGTGACAATTCCGACTAATATTCCCTCACATATACCATCTCCCACACTGTTGCTGTGACTGTACACACCAGTGTGACAATTCCGACTAATATTCCCTCACATATACCATCTCCCACACTGTTGCTGTGACTGTACACACCAGTGTGACAATTCCATATACCATCTCCCACACTGTTGCTGTGACTACATATTCCCTCACATATACCATCTCCCACACTGTTGCTGTGACTGTACACACCAGTGTGATAATTCCGACTAATATTCCCTCACATATACCATCTCCCACACTGTTGCTGTGACTGTACACACCAGTGTGACAACATATACCATCTCCCACACTGTTGCTGTGACTGTACACACCAGTGTGATAATTCCGACATACCATCTCCCACACTGTTGCTGTGACTGTACACACCAGTGTGACAATTCATATACCATCTCCCACACTGTTGCTGTGACTGTACACACCAGTGTGACAATTCCGACTAATATTCCCTCACATATACCATCTCCCACACTGTTGCTGTGACTGTACACACCAGTGTGACAATTCCGACTAATATTCCCTCACATATACCATCTCCCACACTGTTGCTGTGACTGTACACACCAGTGTGACAATTCCGACTAATATTCCCACACCAGTCACATATACCATCTCCCACACTGTTGCTGTGACTGTACACACCAGTGTGACAATTCCGACTAATATTCCCTCTCTCACATATACCATCTCCCACACTGTTGCTGTGACTGTACACCCCAGTGTGACAATTCCGACTAATATTACCATCTCCCACACTGTCTGTGACTCACATGTGATACCATCTCCTCACACTGTTGCTGTGACTGTACACACCAGTGTGACAATTCCGACTAATATTCCCTCTCTCACATATACCATCTCCCACACTGTTGCTGTGACTGTACACACCAGTGTGACAATTCCGACTAATATTCCCTGTCTCTCACATATACCATCTCCCACACTGTTGCTGTGACTGTACACACCAGTGTGACAATTCCGACTAATATTCCCTGTCTCTCACATATACCATCTCCAACACTGTTGCTGTGACTGTACACACCAGTGTGATAATTCCGACTAATATTCCCTCACATATACCATCTCCAACACTGTTGCTGTGACTGTACACACCAGTGTGACAATTCCGACTTATATTCCCTCACATATACCATCTCCCACACTGTTACTGTGACTGTACACACCAGTGTGACAATTCCGACTAATATTCCCTCACATATACCATCTCCCACACTGTTGCTGTGACTGTACACACCAGTGTGACAATTCCGACTAATATTCCCTGTCTCTCACATATACCATCTCCCACACTGTTGCTGTGACTGTACACACCAGTGTGACAATTCCGACTAATATTCCCTGTCTCTCACATATACCATCTCCCACACTGTTGCTGTGACTGTACACACCAGTGTGACAATTCCGACTAATATTCAGTTTGTTCTGTCAGACTTTTTATTAATTGTCTTATAAAGTTTAAGTTACAATTGTGTCCCGTGTGTTGTATTGTTATCTATATAACTGGGAACCAAGTCGTATTTTAGACTTCAACATTAAGGTTTTCAGCATCACTGAAGAATCCAGAAGTATGAAATAACAGTTAAATTCATTGTTTGGTTCTACTGTATCTAACCCTTAATTATCAAAGGGTGTTATTAAATTGTGTTACTTTGATACAATCTACCTGATCTACAATTGCCTTGTAAATTGGGACCAAACTAAGGATCTGGTTTACATAGGTATTATGGTAAGTACTATTTTATCAATACTTACGTTGAGTATAATGTATGAATCACCGTCGTAGAATTTTCCATAATCCTCTTTTGGCCAGTGAGTTACTTTGAATTTCTGTAAACAGAACATTTAAATTTAACATCTTGTTTATCCTGAACAAAAGAATTATATATTTACACAAGATTAGCCTATTCTATACTTGCTATTGTGAGAGAACGATCGATAAGATTTTGGAATTGTCAATTGTCTTTATTTAAGCTATAAATTTAACTGTAGTATCACACTACCCCCACCTACCACGATCCTCCAGATTTGCAGGCCTACTTTCTCTCCAGCCTTCCTCCATGCTGGCTCACTTTCAGCGGATTCCTCTGTAAGTATATTTATAACCTAATCAAGCAGATATTGATCCCTCTGATCAAAGAAATCAATAATATGATAAAAAAAAAACTAAGAAAGAGGGGAAATAAAATTTTGATTTGTGTTTAGAAAGACGTGCTTGACTGCGTGTTGCGAGTCAGTAACCCAATGGCTCGAATAGAACTCTTCCTCCCGGAAGTTACATAATGTAGCTTCCTCCCTGTCTGTACCATCATGGAGTCATTCATGAAAACATAAACCAAACAGGCAAACATTATACGGAAGAATTGTTTCGTCCTTGACCTGGAAAGTATTTTCTGTCGTATACATCTTCCCGTTCACATACATAGTACTTTGTGACGATTGCAGACTAAATAGTACAAGGATTTTTTTTAGATAGTTACTATGGTTAATGAGGCTTAAATCATTAATAATTTCCCACCGTAATTCCTGACAAGTTGTATCGACAACGTCACTTTACAGGAATGACAACAAAAGCCCGTTCTCAAGCTTCCAAATCTATTAAGCCCCATGGCGTTACATTCTTCCTTATTGAAGATATGATCCCATTGTGGATGTCCGCCAACACTATCAACACAGGATCATCCTTTTAAAACCTATAGTTTTAAGTTTAACAAATAAAATGTGTCAAAGAACGGATAATCATCCTAATTTTAAATGTCTAAATAACAAAAATATCCCCAACAGAAGAACAGAAAATAGCTTGAATCAAAATAGCCATACAGTGCATAAGCGTAGAAATAAGAAATTATTTTTGAAATATCGTGTAGAAATCGGAAATCAAAAAATGAAAAAAGGAGTCCAAATGGTGTTTAGGACATACAAATACCTACTTTTAACCTGTCTCTCTGTGTCCGAGCCAAACAGGGCGAGGTTTGAGTCTTTCCAGTCATACTGCTTCTGTTTTATCAACCCTGGAATAAAAAACACGCGTTACTTACCATTCACTTATCAAAGACTATTTAAAGTCCGCAACCACTCAATGGCTATTAAGGAACCATATTTACAGGATCATTGCGAAATGGCAATGGAATGAGGTGGGTGGGAGGGGAGATAACGCTGCATATCATTAAAACGTTATTAGTCTTGTAGATCTATGCGAGTAACCACTAATAGTTATATATTTTATGCAGCAATATTGTATATACCGTATCATATATATGCAGTGGTACAGTATCATATATATGTAGCGGTACAGTATCATATATATGTAGCGGTACAGTATCATATATATGTAGCGGGTATCATATATGTTTAGCGGTACAGTATCATATATATGTAGCGGTACAGTATCATATATATGTAGCGGGTATCATATATATTTAGCGGTACAGTATCATATATATGTAGCGGTACAGTATCATATATATGTAGCGGGTATCATATATATGTAGCGGTACAATATCATATATATGTAGCGGGTATCATATATATGTAGCGGTACAGTATCATATATATGTAGCGGGTATCATATATATGTAGCGGTACAGTATCATATATATGTAGCGGTACAATATCATATATATGTAGCGGGTATCATATATATGTAGCGGTAAAGTATCATATATATGTAGCGGGTATCATATATATGTAGCGGTACAGTATAGCGCTACGATACATTTGTAGTACTGTTTACTTGACAAGAATAAACTTTCTAGGTAAAAGATTTCCCCGTACATCCATCACGACTTACCACCATTTGTTATCAGGTAATATATACTGTATATGATTTACAAAACCTTTTTGCTACAAAAGATGCGAAGACATTTCCCCAATACTTTTTTTGAATTCTTTTTTGATATCATTATTTTCTAATGCAAAGTTACCTAACACTATTTCCCTTACAAGTGTATATTTTATCATTATTTCCTGTTATATCATACGCACGATCAAACGTTTGACATTAAATTTGACAACTTTGGTTACGTTACTATCAGGACCTTAGATGTTTTAACCCAGTATACAGGACATAGATATAAACAGGACAATTTTTGTGACTTGCTAGTGTCAATATAGTGTACATTATGTATTGTAGATTTAAACCTGCAGAGCGGAAACAGATTTAACTCTTGTTAAAATGAAAAGTATGTTAAATACGTAATCTATGGAGTGTGAAGAGACGGTATACATGATTTCTATATCAGAGACACAGCTATGACTTTTTTGTCTTGTTTCACAAAAAGATCAGCCTAGGACTACATAGACATGTAGCAACAAGGACCCGCATTCTCTGAAATAGCAGTGTACTTATAAGTAAATATTACATACTGAAAAAGACGTCCATGTGCTTTAACACGTATTTTCCTATAGTGGTAGGCACTTAATTGAAATCTGTGACCACGGCATACGTCAGTATCGAACACTGTACAGTAGTATTAGTACAAACCATAGCATTTCGTTTGTCAATTACCAATGATTTATAGAGATGGCAGACATCAGTATCGAACACTGTACAGTAGTATTAGTACAAACCATAGCATTTTGTTCGTCAATTACCAATGATTTATAGAGATGGCAGACATCAGTATCGAACACTGTACAGTAGTATTAGTACAAACCATAGCATTTTGTTCGTCAATTACCAATGATTAAAAGAGATGGCAGACGTTAGTGATTTATCAATCACTGTACAGTAGTATGAGTACAAACCATAGCATTTCGTTTGTCAATTATCAATAATTTATAGAGATGGCAGACATCAGTATCGAACACTGTACAGTAGTATGAGTACAAACCATAGCATTTCGTTTGTCAATTATCAATAATTTATAGAGATGGCAGACGTCAGTATCGAACACTGTACAGTAGTATTAGTACAAACCATAGAATTTTGTTCGTCAATTATCAATGATTTATAGAGATTGTTGATTATTAGGACAAATTTGGTAGTCTATAAATTGTTTACACATGAAGGTTTTTTTATATTGTTTTCATTAAGCTTTACCTCCATAGTAGTCCCTCTTCTTACACCAGGTGTATCACAATACCTTATATATATATACACTTGTTTACTTTTATACTAGCTTACGTTACAAACAATCAATTTGTGAAATTACCTGACATTGTGATGAGAGTACTTGTAGTCTTCAGAAAAACGGAAACTCTGAAAATAAATAAAGTGAAGTAAATTCACAGTAAGGAAGTTCCTGAGGGAAATATTTGTCCTCTGCTGGTCCGATCGTTCTCCGCTTTGCTGAACCGCTGACTGGTATACCACGTTCTACTATCCCTCGGCTTACTGATGACTAGGACCCGGACTGCAGTATGCTTGACAGAACTTCCGTACGTAAGTGTGTGTAAACTGTGAGATCATTTGTCCCGCATTTATTTGTGTAGTTTTAGCGAGATGATATATCATGCCTATTTCATCCGTGGCTCGGGTAACCGTGCCGTCCAATAGGCAACGAAGGAATTATTTTACAATACCCAGTAACGATTTCCAATACTTGATGTAGTTGGGATGCAATTTCACCTGGTATATATCATTTTGCACACTTACATTCGTGTTCATTGTCACGTTCATCACAAACAACGGGGACAGAGAAATAAAATACGATTTGTGCAATATCAAACTACTAAGCAAAAAGTCCCAATAGCCTTCTGATGTTGTATACTGTAGACATACGACGCAAAATAAGACCATTAACGGTGCTCAGAATAACGAGACGTACATGATATAGAACGATGTATGGACAGATGTCAGAGATTCGTCATGATATAAAGACACGTCTATCCGTGACTAAAAATTTGATTGGCATCAGGAAGTGAATCGTCGTGGTAAAAAACGTTCCTGACTAGTAAAGCTTTAACCTTAGTCATTAAGGATATCAATAACCACCAGTAACTAAACATATGACAAGGTCCGGGCGTGCGTCACCGTGATACAGCGCTGTGGACATGTACTGTACAAGTAAAACTAATGTTAAACTGTTGGCAACATGGCTAACTAAGACAGAAGGACACACCAAAGAAACGGTCAAAATAGAGACCAACTGACATATGGTAAGATATAAAAGCAAAAAAGTAAATAAAATAAAAAATGGAAGATAGAACTTCAGTCATATACTTATTTCTTGAAGGTAGATATAAAGTTCTATAATTTTGACGATACGTACTTTCAACAAAAGTAGAATTAGTAGTTCTATATTGTATTGTTAGGTATAATATATGATTTTTTTTATTTTAGAAGAAAAGTTTACAGCGAATTCAAAATAATAGCTATCCCTGTTCTCTAATGATTATATGTAATGAGCGTTTGATTCTTAGATGAAACATTTCTAATATCTACCCTCTACACAGTATCATAGAGGGGACGATTCGCCCAGAAGATCGTTTTACCATGCAGACGGATTTTGTTGTACGACAGATACAGGAGACGTAGACAGCTTTACAATCTATTGCATAAACGATTTCCATCGTATTGATTATCGAAAAGGAAGCTGCGACGATGTAGGTACAAGATGCCAGGTGACTCCAGACATGTACCTTCCTGTGTTATTGGCCATGTACAGAGCATCAACACTAACGTAGGATAAACATCGAACCCAAATAAAGAAGATCACAAACAACTCAAACATCGTTCCGACGTCATTGAATGTCGTGACACTGCAATGTCACAAGGTCGCGAAAGGTCGTGACACTGCAATGTAACAAGGTCACGAAAGGTCGTGACACTGCAATGTTACAAGGTCATGAAAGGTCGTGACACTGCAATGTTACAAGGTCACGAAAGGTCGTGACACTGCAATGTCACAAGGTCACGAATAGTCTTGACACTGCCATGTTACAAGGTCACGAAAGGTCGTGACACTGCAATGTTACAAGGTCATGAAAGGTCGTGACGTTACAAGGTCATGAAAGGTTGTGACATTACAATGTTACAAGGTCATGAAAGGTCGTGACATTACAATGTTACAAGGTCATGAAAGGTTGTGACATTACAATGTTGCAAGGTCGTGAACGGTCGTGTCATTACAATGTTACAAGGTCATGGAAGGTCGTGACATTACAATGTTACGAGGTCATGAAAAGTGACATTACAATGTGACAACGTCATGAAAGGTCGTGACATTACAATGTTACAAGGTCATGAAAGGTCGTGACATTACGATGTAACTATGTCTTTAAAGATCGTGTCATAACAGTGTTACAAGGCCATACAAAGTCTTGAAAGATTTTAAATATTTCAAAAGTATTTGTTTTCATGCTATGAAAGAAATTAACAAATTAAAACTGATTGGTCAAATTGGTCTAAACGGGACCTGACGACACCGCATCAGTGAGTCTGCCCACACCTGATAAGAGAGACTTGATAGGAACTGACCACACCCGGAAAGTGAGACTTGCTAGGAACTGACCACACTGTAAACGTTATTAGTGATGTTTGCTAGGAATCTACAAGTCCATATCAGTAAGTGTAGAAACAGGGTTAGGGTTAGAATCAGATCTAAAGGCATAAATATCTAAAAATATTCTAGCTAAGATATTCTAATACTGTTTCTAGTACACGTGCCAGGTGACAGTCGTGGTTTTACTCTACAGTGGTGATCAGGAGTATATACAATATAGATAAAGATGTAAGATATTCTAATACTGTTTCTAGTACACTTGCCAGGTGACAGTCGTGTTTTTACTCTACAGGGGTGATCAGGAGTATATACAATATAGGTAAAGATGTAAGAGATTCTAATACTGTTTCTAGTACACGTGCCAGGTGACAGTCGTGTTTTTACTCTACACGGGTGATCAGGAGTATATACAATATAGGTAAAGATGTAAGATATTCTAATACTGTTTCTAGTACACGTGCCAGGTGACAGTGGTGTTTTTACTCTACAGGGGTGATCAGGAGTATATACAATATAGGTAAAGATGTAAGAGATTCTAATACTGTTTCTAGTACACGTGCCAGGTGACAGTCGTGTTTTTACTCTACAGGGGTGATCAGGAGTAGATTCTAATACTGTTTCTAGTACACGTGCCAGGTGACAGTCGTGTGTTTACTCTACACGGGTGATCAGGAGTATATACAATATAGGTAAAGATGTAAGAGATTCTAATACTGTTTCTAGTACACGTGCCAGGTGACAGTCGTGTTTTTACTCTACAGGGGTGATCAGGAGTAGATTCTAATACTGTTTCTAGTACACATGCCAGGTGACAGTCGTGTTTTTACTCTACAGTGGTGATCAGGAGTATATACAATATAGGTAAAGATGTAAGAGATTCTAATACTGTTTCTAGTACATGTGCCAGGTGACAGTGGTGTTTTTACTCTACAGGGGTGATCAGGAGTATATACAATATAGGTAAAGAGGTAAGAGATTCTAATACTGTTTCTAGTACACGTGCCAGGTGACAGTCGTGTTTTTACTCTACAGGGGTGATCAGGAGTATATACAATATAGGTAAAGGTAATTAAAGATAACTAACTGAAATCAACCGCCACAACATTGCTTTCTTTGTGAGTCACTATGCACGATAAAACTTAAACTAAAATAGTAATTTTTCGAAATGCCGGGCGCATTAAAGATGATGAAAAATTGTATTACAACGATGTTGAAATTGAAGTTGTGAACAAATTTAATTATCTGGGTATGCTTTTCAATTTAAATGGTAAATTTAACAATACGCAGCAACATGCCGCAGAAAAGGGGAGAAAATCGTATATTAGACTGATAAACAAAATGAAAAATCATAACTTTAATGTTGAAACGTTATGCTCAATTTTTGATACTTATGTTAGTAGTGTATTAACATATGCAAGTGAAGTGTGGGGATTCCATAAAACTACTGACGTTGAAAAAGTACATTCACATTTTTGTAAAAAGATCATAGGTATTGCGAAAAGCACATATCATGCTTTAGTTTATTTTGAATTTTGAATTTTGAAAATTGAAAATAATGAAATACTGGACTAAAATCAAAGATACGGATAATTGTGTGTTGAAAGCATGCTATGAACAAAGATTATTAGATAATAATGAGTGGATTGTAAATATTAAGTTAGAACTAGATAAATTAGGAATAGGGTACTTATGGAACAGCAGTCTTGACAGAAAACTAGTATACAAGTGAATTGAGTGTGAGTTTCAAGAAATTCATATTCAAGGATTGTTGAGCAATATTCGAAATTCTCCAAAAGAATATTTATATCAGCATTTGATAGACAATTTTGGGCTACAGTTTCATTTAAGGAAACCTATCGACCATCGATTCAAGAAATGTATATCAAAAATAAGATTATCATCACATCAGCTCAATATTGAAAGTTGTAAATATAGGAACGTAGCCAGATAAAATAGGATATGTACACTATGTAATAATAGAGATATTGAAGACGAATTCCATTTTATTTTGAAATGTCCCTTTTATGTAGATCTCCGATCTAAATATTTGAAATCATATTATTTTCGCGAACCTAGTGTGTTCAAATTGATTAAGCTTTTAAGTATAAACAATGTAAAGGAATTAAATAACCTCGGAAAATTTATCTTGTGATAATGTAACAGACTAATTCCTCTCTTGTCGGTTTGGCCTCCCTGGATGTCAATAATAAACAAATTCAGGAGCTGATAGACATCCACGGAACTGTCATAATGACAGCCAGTTCTTCATCGTGTATCTGAGTGTCTTAAAAAATCAACTTATCGATTTCAGTTGAGAGCATTTTCCTGTCATGAACGATTTTAGCTCAACATTTCAGCCCAAAACTAGTTCAAAAACCTACAATGAAGAATGAAATCGGGTCCAATCCTATATAAAAAGTTGTGAAAGATTAGCTGGGAAAAAATGAATATTTTTTCCATTTTTTTTTTTTAATTAAAGTTTTTGGAAAACTGTCTTTGACAAGTTTACAGTTGCTGTTTGTAATATTAACCTTTATATTTGAATTCAAAACATGCAGCAGACTTTAATTAAGAGGATTTGACCCAATTTGGTGATTTATTATAGGTTTTTGAAGAAGTTTTGGGGTAAGATGTGTACCCTGGCTCACACCCATGACAAGATCATAAAATAGGTCGTAGTACAGACCAAAAGTGACATTTGGATCTTTTAAACATACATTCTTAGGAGTTTACTGGTGTATTTAAAATAACACACAATAAAGATTAAATTGGGAAGTGGAAAAAACTACATGTACCGTGAAACAGGTTCTTTGTTGAGACGCTTAAAC